TTGAAACCTAGGATTCATTTCAACCTGTATGTTCCTCACACAGGGACTATAATAAAACATCACATTTTCCAGTGGAGAGAACTCACATATCTAATGGCACACATGCAGGGGTGTGTGAATTCAGTGTGCCCAAAGAATGAATCCAGTTTTTGTGCCCACAACAAGGTAGAAGATCTAGGAAGCTCACTAACAAAGGATACCCAATAAATTAAATGACTTATCTGGGATTTGAAACCAGGTTTCTCAATCGTGAGATTAATTTCCCAATATAACAAAACCTTTCCCCCCCCCCCCCAAACAACTGTAGGTTTAAAATGGGAATGGTCACAAATTGTATTTACAACCTGTCCAGGAGTACACATTAGAACAAGAGAAAAAAAAATCTCACCAAATATTAAAAAAAAAAACATTTAGGGCAATTCTTGCAAGCAAAAAGTCCTGGAAATCACATTAAGATTTGCAGTAGATCAAAAGGGCCTTTTGGAGTTTCAGGTGGCTTTATAGCACTTCCATCACCCTGAACATCAGGGTGTTTTAATGAGTAAAGCTTGAGGGAAGGAGACTTAGCTATGGGTTTCGTAGGAGCTCAGTTTTGCTGCTATAAACAATTTCCTCTATTGCAATGCACTTAGAACCGCCTTCCCCCCTTAATCCTCTGTGGGCATCCACCCTTCTATCTGAGCTGCTATTTTGCATATAGTTCCACTTGGGAGATCGCACCCTTAACTTAAATTACTGACAATACTATCCTATTTTCTTTCTTCGACTTACATCCAAGATGTTGCTGAAATAAAATGCTTTTCTGTCACACTTGGCAGCTTCCTACCACGCTGTATAATTTCTTTTTTTCCCTCTCATTTGATTAATTGCCCCAAGGCTTAATTCATTAGGTCTGCAAGCCTCATCACAGTTGTGTATACTTTAATCCCATAGATATCAATTGGACTGATGTATAATTTTGAATAGGATTGCAGACTTTTTCCATTAACTTCAGCAAGCGCCATAACTGTTTAGTAAGAATTTATTTCTAAAACTCCCTTGTTTATATTGTTATTGAGGAGTATTACCTGAAGCAATGCTGTTAAATTTCTGTTAAAATGAGTTCAGCTAATTACTTTTAATAGTAAGTATTTTTTTTTAAAAAGCGATTCTATACCCTACTGGTAGAATTCATATGGCACAATCTTTCTCCTTAGTTATTCAACCATCACATTTAACATTAGTACACTTGTTTATTGAGTACACGTTGTTTTCTCTCTAGTATAGTTTTTACTTTCTGCCATCTGGGTTCAAGGACGGTTTAAGATGTTACACAATTTATAGAAGATGCTGTAAGTTTTTTGTGCCTGCTTCAGTTGTCATATCCCTGTGCAAGGAAAACTTGAAGTGAATTTGTGAATTTTAAACTATCCTTTTCTTATCTTCCTTTCTTTTTTCTTTCCTTCTTTGTAAGCCGCCCGGAGTCCTTCGGGATCGGGCGGCATATAAATTTAATAAATCCCCTTCCCGTGATTGTAAGCCGCCCTGAGTCCCCTCAGGGAGAAGGGCAGCCTATAAATCTTAATAAATGTCTAAAATGTCTAAATAATAATAATAATAATAAAGTGAAGTGGTGAAGGGTGTATCACAAATACTCAGGCCACGCCACCTACTTCTTATAGAAGTGAAATAGATATAATGAATCTTGAAACTGTGTCTGATTACCTTACTACTGAATTTACTCAAGGGTTATCCTACACTGACAATTAGATTCTAGACAGAACTACCAGAAGGAAAGAATAAATCGCATAGCATGTCCCATGTTAGTTCTGTGAATTTTTTTTATATGGAATATATTTATTATTATGCCACAGTCTGTTCTGGAGGATTCCGTTTTTGGGGTTTTTTTTTTGATCAATTTCTGCAAACATTTTCAGGCCTGGGCTCTGTTTAAAGGGAAGTTCAAAGAAGGCATTGATAAACCAGATCCTCCCACTTGGAAGACAAGACTGCGTTGTGCCTTGAACAAGAGCAATGATTTTGAAGAACTGGTTGAAAGAAGCCAACTGGACATATCAGATCCGTATAAAGTATATAAAATAGTACCAGAAGGAGCCAAAAAAGGTAAACTGAGATTTAAAAGCGTCTAGCAATCACTATTTATCCTTCATTGGGGATTTGCATATGATACTCCTCACTAGTTAATAGCCTAGAGCAGTGTTTCTCAACCTTGGCGACTTTAAGTCTTGTGGACTTTAACTCCCAGAATTCCCCAGCCAGCTGTGCTGGCTGGGGGGTTCTGGGAGTTGAAGTCCACAGGACTTAAAGTCGTCAAGGTTGAGAAACACTGGCCTAGAGCTATTAACTAGTGAGGAGTATCATATGCAAATCCCCAATGAAGGATAAATAGTGATTGCTAGACGCTTTTAAATCTCAGTTTACCTTTTTTGGCTCCTTCTGG